CGCGGAGGCTGTGGTTGTCCACCCCTGGGTTGGACAACCACTTGGTTCCAGGATCCGTTTGAAGCCTTCCCGCTAGCATCAGCCTTCCCTTCCTTATGCCAAGGAAGAAAACCCCTCGCCCTGTGTAAGAGCAACCCTCTTGCATTGCTGAAGAGCTGTTGTGAATGTGCCTCCAGCGAAACATGTATGAGATGTAGCCTCACTACTTGCAAACAACACTGGTTTACCCTTATCAGCTGCTGCTGCTTTTTCTTTACTTTTTTTTTTTAAGCAATGAGCTTTTATACAACCTTTCTCTCCAGGGAAATGGAAGGAAAGAGATAAAGTGACAGCAATATAGGGCTGTGATAATGGAAGGTAGCGTTGAGCAGGGCTGTGATTAGAGGAAGGCTGGTCCTCTGCAAGGGGAATTTGCAAGACATTAAGCATCTGTCGTTTTAACCCGTTGCATCCCTTTGTCAATACCTCGCTCTCCTCCCGTGCTGAGAGGCTTTGAATGCATCAGGCAGGCAAGAGGACAAATTCCCATACGTCATGTCTCAGCGAGGCCAGGAAAGCTCTCTGCTTCTCGGTGGGGTCTCAGTCTGCCTGCTGTCTGAATGCTGTGGGAAGACGGATGGTCCCTTTGGCCATGTCGTGCTGGTGCATATCAAGAATGTCTTCATCTGTTTTATGCCCAGGCGAAGGTGACCCCTTTGCCCGCAGCGCAGAGCTGAGGTCGGTGGCTGTGGCCCGTGAGAACAGGCAGCGAGGAGGTGTTGCAGAATGCACGTACCGGAGACGTTCAAGGTCAGGTTGGACGGGGCTCTGAGCAACCTGCTCTAGTTGAAGACGTCCCTGCGCACTGCAGGGGGTTGGACTACGTGGCCCTTAGAGGTCCCTTCCAACCCAAACCATTCTGTGATTCTACTTGGCAATTTTGAGCAGAAGGGCCTTGTCCTGAGCTGGCAGAGCTCCACACATCTTTCAGCAGCACCTCCACGGGCTCCCACCGGTGGCCTCGGCCCCGGGTGCCCTCCGTGC